CGACGGCACGGACGAAGCCTACTCCTCAGAGAAACCTTCATCTGACCCGAACTCGAACTCTGGGATTGGGAAAAGTAGAGCAAGACTGAGTACTACCCACTGTACTCAGCAAGTCATACCAGAATAGGGGTATGATGCAGGGAATCATCAAAGAAGAGCTAAAGTGGTTTATTTGCATAAAGCGAGCATTTATAAACAGAGATTGAAAGATTTAAACAGTTGTAATAATTAATTAGTATTAATCATCCGCTGTCCAACGCTAACCCACGTTGCGACAGGCCCAACCATCCACCTAAACTACCCAAATTCAAAAGATTATACTAGGATGAGACTAATCACGGTGAATCTGGTTGACCGCCCATAACCGCGGGCACGGCTATTCGAATAGTTTTACTCTGATCAGAGGTGTACAACTGTACCCACAAGACACAGCCCGACGACACGTTTCCGTGCGCCGACATGTCACCACGACATATCGGAAAGAGGCTGTGACAGGACCATTCGCATAACCCCCTCTAACCAAGCACACCACACCTCAGGTTTCACCCCCACTCCTCGCAAGGCAGCGGGCAGTCCCCTCTCGTGCCTAGGTGAATCCGGAAGCCGCATAGGCCGTCGCAGGGCCCATCCAAACTCCATCACGCCCACCCTTGCCTGGATGCGTCGGCTAGAGGAAAGCTACACTACAAGCCCAGCCGTTGCCCACGCTGGCTTGTGGTAAGTACGATAAGTTCTTCCAAGGCATCCCGCGAACCGGTCCTTAACTGCCATGGGTGCGACCAGCAAAACCATGCACCCACAGCCCACCATGTGATTCATTTTAATTAACCAACACCAGAGCGGTGGTACTAATCCAACATTATCATTAGAACCAACAGTCTAAACATTAATATGATTTTCCCCATTGTGAACTAGTTGAACTAAGCATGGCTAAGCAATTCCTAGTCCAAACTCTAATCATGTTATAACCCCAAGCTAACAAAGGAGCATGATATCCAAAAACATGGCTGTAACAATAGGTAACCATCCCATAGTAATATTATAAAACAATGCAATATTTGAAAGAAAACAATAGAGCATTTGCAATATAGGATCAACATGTTCAAGTGACAAGCATGACTTGCCTTGCTCTGCTGCTGGAGGAACCTCGGCGACTATCTCAAAGTACACCGGAGCGTCGGAGGAATCGGAATCTAGCGACATACAAAGCAAACATTGCAAACATGCTATAAGACTACTGAAACAGGGAACAAAACCATTTTTAATGGATTCTACACATTTTTCTTGATTTACTGAGACTTGAATGGGCTTAAACGGAGCTCGGATGAATTAGTTATGAATTTTAGAAGATTCACTGTGTTTATTACTATAAAAGAAAAACCTTAAATCATTTATTGCGCAATATATTCCAGGGCTGACGTCAGCACGGAGGGAGGGGGGTGCGGCGCCGACAAGCGGGGCCCGCATGTCAGCGGCGCACGGGTGGCCGGTCTACCGTGGACGGGGACCACGCGGGTGATCCACCGCCGGTCCACGGGATCGACGGCCCGGATCGGCCCGGGGCCGATCGGACGGTGCGGCGGCGACCAGGCTAGGCTCGGCTCGGCACAAAGCCGGCCGACCGGTCACGGCGACGGCGCGCGCACGCGCACGCGCGTTGCCGACGACGGCAACCGCCGGCGGAGACGGCGGCGCAAGGCGGCGCCGAAGGGCGGTGATGCTAAAGCGACGACTAACGGGCGGCGGCGCTAAAGCGGCGGCTAGGAGGGAGAGGGAGGGGAAAAGAAAAGGGAGGGGTGCCTCACCGAGGGTGGCCGGCGCGGAAGAAGATGATGGCAACGGCGACGGCAAGCCACGGGAGGACGACGTCGGCGGGCGGACGAGCTTCGGGGTGCCCTAAGGAAGGAGAAGAGAGGGATTAGAGAGAGGGAGATGGACCACGGCGACCGGAAACCATGGCCGAAGGCGGCGGTGGAGGTGGTGCTCACCCGAGTGCGAGGGAACGAAGGCTCCGGCGACGAACTTCGACGGAGGAGGGGTGGACGGGGTGGATCTCGGCCACGCGAACCCGACGGCGGCGACGGCGCGGCCTGGCGGCGACCCTAACGGCGGCTAGCGGCAGCCGGAGCAGCGGAAAAGGCGGCGGCAAGGGGTTGCACGGCGCGGGAGCGATGGGAGGCTCGAGAGAGTGCGGCGAAATGGGGAAAAAGTGAGAGGGGACGACGGCGATGCTTAAATAGGGGAAGAGGGAACCGGACGTGGCCGGGAGAGGCGGGAATCGCCGGCCGACGTGGGGAGTGGGGGAGGAGAGAGAGGCGGGATTCGAAAATCGAATCCCGGCCATCTCGGGCGCGGGCGCGAGCGGGAGAGAGAGAGGAGTGGGCGCGGGAGACGCGGCGCACGCGCGGGCGTGGTCGACGTGGCCCGGAGGAGGCGGAGACGAGGGCGCGGCGGCGGTTGCGAGATCGGCGGGAGGTGGGGGAAGGACCCGACAGGTGGGCCCCACCTGTCGGCGACCCCGGAGAGGAGGGCGGCGGGACGGCCTGGCTGGGCGTCGGCCTGCGGCCGGCCCAGCAGGGAGGGGGAAGAAGGAAGGAGGGAATGGGCCAGCGGCCCATCCGAAAAAAAAGAGGAAAAAGAGAGGAAAAGAAAAAGAAAAAGGAAAAAGGATTTTCCCTGAAATTGAAATATTGCTTGCTCAATTTTAATTGGTTAAAATTATTTCTAGAGCTCTGAAAATTCCACTAAAAATCCTGTTAATGAATTTCGACATGTAGAACTCAAGAAAAATTCCACATGTCAAATCCGATTATTATTTGCATTACTTTCTTAGGGTTTTCTCCTGATTTCACCTGCATTTTCTTGGGGTCGTTTTACAAATTAAATTTTAGGCTTGGGAGGAGAACTTCGGGGTGTGACATCCTCGCCCCCTCCCCTTCTCTCCCGTCGATCTTGAGGAGCGGTAGCGATGCCCTCCTCGTCCCTATGAACTCCGATGACAAGAGGCGGCCAACGAGCTCCACGCTCTCCTCTCCTTCATCTCTCTCTTCCTCGGCGAGCTCCACGCGCAAAGGCCGGCGCCCAACGCCTTCTTGGTCTTCCTCCACATCCCCTCCATTGCTCCCAGAACACGCGTCACCGCCGGACCTCCTCCTGCCTCGTGCCTATTGGCCTCCAGACCCGCCGCTTCACCCCACCCAGAAAGAGAGAGGAGGAAGGAAGAGAAGAGGGGAAAGAGAGAGGGTCATGACATGGATCACCCTGACATGTGGGACCCATGTGGGTCCTACACCGACTCAGCCACTACGTCGGACAAAACCGAGATCAATACCGTCTAAGGACCCAAAGTGACACAGTTTTGTAAGTTAGGGGATATTATATATTTGGTTTTTGGTTGAGGGACGATTTTATGATGAGGAATGCTAAACAAGGGGATCCCGTCAGGCCGAGATCCCCTTTCATTCACCGCGTCATCCATCGCAACAGCGCGAGACGAAGGGATTGGATTGGATTGAAGAGAGTGGTGGCGCCGTCGTCCCTCGCGTCCTCCCACCTCTCCCGCCTCATCGACCTCCGCCGCGCAGGCAGCGCTGTCACCATCGCCGCTGTCCCGGCGCATCCGTAGTAGCTCCGTTGGGGTGCTCCCGCCGCCGTGTGCAGCACCATGGCCGGATCCGGCAAGGTTGCCATCCTCCTTCCTGCTTAAACCAGCAATGCAAGCGAATGAATTTTTAGAGGGCTTGGAGGCAAGCGAGCGATGCCGTCCAGGAAGTAGCACCAGAAGACAGGCTTCTTGGACACTGCTTCCATCTCGATCGACCTCTGTCAGCGGGGCGGCAAAGCTGTCAACGACGTGCTTGTACGATTGGACCAGCCGCGGCTTGCGACCGGCGGTGGTGTTGCCGGGGAGGAAGAGCAGGTGCCAGCTCCGCTGCACGCCATCGTCGTCCGGCTGCGGCCTCAGGAGGACATTGTACTCCTTGTACTCCAAGGGATCCTCTCCTCCTGCTGTTAGGGCGCCGATGCATTGGTGGTGGTGGAGCGCCACCGGGGGAGGAATGGGCATGCGGTGCAATGGAGACGATGAGGATCATCTGATACCTCGCAAGTATCATCTGATACGTGGTAGAATAGCATGATACATTATATGTATCACGTGATACCGGCTAGGTATCATGACCAGATACCTCGCAAGTATCACCTTCTACGTGGTAAGAATCGCATGATACCTTATAGGTGTCATCTGATACCTCGCAAAATCACCTGACACGTGATAAAATCGTATGATACCTGATAAGTATCACTGATACAGGTTATGTATCAGGACCTGATACCTCGCAAGTATCACCTTTTACGTGTTAAGAATCGCATGATACCTGATAGGTATCATCTGATACCTTGCAAGTATCACCTGACACGTGGTAGAATCGATGATACCTGATAAGTATCGGGATCTGATATCTAACCGGTCGTTTTGGAACGGGATTCCGGTATATAGCAGCCCCTTTTATAATGGGTAATTTGGAACCATGCCATTATAATTTTTCAAAGTTTGAGATATGTCATCGGTATCTCAATGACATGTAGGACTCACATGAGTCAATAACATGTGGGTCAGGATGGCATATCTTAAATTTTAAAAAATTATAATGGCATGGTTACAATTTTCCCTTTTATAATTCGGTGACAAGACGAGGGACCTCTAACGTACAACCCCAGTTACGCCCCAGCTCAATCCGCTTTAGTAACCTACGAGTCGGCCCAAGGAAACTTGGGGCCCAACGGAGCGGCCCAAATAAATGGGCCCCTGCGTATGGCCATAGATGAGGCTTAATCCTACAGCCCGTATGAATTGGGCCCATGGCGACGGCGATGAGAAGGCAGCCCAATCTTTACATCCTGCAGACCACGCGGCCCGTGATGATCGAGCACAATGGAGTCGTGATCCGCCGCGTCCAAAGTACCAGACGTAGCGAACCGTGTCAAATAAAATCTGGCCCACTATCCGTCCCCTCATCGCCGCTGCTCATCTCCTTCCTCCCCCAACGCGAGTCCACCGAGACCCACCCCTGCGACGCCGCCGCACAACTCGAGCGGAGCAGTGCAGGCGAAACCCTACTCGAAGCCCGCGGCGAGCCACCGCCACCTCCAGATCCGACCACACCGCGCCGCCGCAGCGATGGTGTACTTCGATTCGTGGGACGAGTTCGTCAGCAAGTCCGTCGAGCTCTTCCGCAACCACCCCGACACCGTAAGCCCGCCACCACGATCCTCTCCTCTCCTCCCCTCCGATCCTCCCTCCCGGCTTTTCTTCCTGCCCGATCTAACCTTCCGCTTCGGTGTTTGCATCCAAGACCCGCTACGTTGTCAAGTACCGGCACTGCGAAGGGAAGCTCGTGCTCAAGGTCACCGACAACCACGAGGTACTCGGATCGAACTTACTTTTTTTTTTTCTGGATTTGTTTCGTTTAACTAGGCCACGGGCGCCTCGGCGAAAATTTGGGTGAAAATTGGCAAGTAAACGCGAACGGATGGAGCGGAATTGATCAGATAGAGAGAATTCTGGATATGTTGATTCTATTCGTTCATATATGTAACTTCCTATGGATTGATTTCGTTGTGTTTTGTGTAGATTATCGATTTCGTTGTGTTTTCTGTAGAATATTCATTGGTTGTGTGATCTGGTTATCAGCATGTGTAATACCATCCGCCGTGAGAACACTGCTTTAGCAGGGTCAATTTGCCAATTACAATGCACCTCCTGAATATGCTATGGTAGCTCTTGTTATGAAGTAGAGAATGTATAATAAACACTTATTGCATATGAAATTGGAACGGCTGCTGTTTGTCTGAGTGATGTATGATTCTGTTAATAAGTGTGAAAAGCTAAAGTAATTTATGTATTCCATTATAGTTTCCCATATATGTTCATGCTTACCTTTCCATTCTACTTTAAGACAAATAATTTGTGTTTAGGAAGTACACTTGTGCTCATCGGTTTCTTTTTATACAACAATATGCAATATGACCTACTTTATTTGATTAATTAATTATTGAAGGGTGAATGTGAGATAGGATATCAAACATATTAATTATACATCTATTTCTCTACTAGAAAAAAAATGCCCATGCGTTGCAACGGGTGAATGTTATTTTAATCTTATTATTGTTATACGGTTTAGCTAGGATGAAATTCAATGTGGGAATTCGCTTGGATATTTTTTTTTTAGAAAATTATGAGCTGCAATTAGGAGTCCGACTTTCATCTCAAGTTAGCATGCAAATTTTTCTAAAGAGATTTCTTATACGACTCCTTTTGTATTTCCAAAAGTAAACGAACCTAAAATCCGACTCAAACACGGATCTATATTTCCAAAAGCAAACGAACTTAAAAACCAAGTAAAATACGGATGACGTATCAAAATACCAGCAAAAACATCTTCAATTTTTATAATAGTAGAGAAGAGATAGAGATATATTCTAGTCCAGATTTGCAACTGTTCTATGCTTGTTTGACCCGTGGTGTGGCTGAATTTATTCATCGTTCTATGCTGCTTGTTGTCTGCTATATATGATGTTCAACAAGACAGGATTGACAGTATATAATGGATGCCTAGCTGTTAGTTCTGTGCTCTTCTGGTACTACTAGGAAAGCTTTGACTGAAAGAATGCCACAATAAATAAATCACTGTAGTGTCTTTTAACTGCACATTGTGATGCATCAGTTTTCATCAGTTTGTGGTTGAACAAGAAGGCTAGGATTTTGATATCACCATGATGAACCCTCTACTCTTTACTATAATTAGTTTAACCCAGTCAAATGGAATGAGAATATTGCCCTGAGTTTCTACTGCAAACAAGGAGCTGAAAATCTGACAGAATGTTCTTCAGCTGATTGCTCTGGCATAATTGACAACTACTTGTTACTTGGTAGTCCTTTCTGTGTGTAAATGTTTATTGTGTGTTGATGAATGCCTTGTCAATTATATTCCACACAAGACACAACCCAATAGGTAGCGCTTAATAACACTGCGAAATCATTTCTTGCTTACAGAGAATGTTAGAGCTTCTTCTGTTGCCATCTATTTGGCTGGCAGGTGTATATTGCATGGGAAAGAAAGTTTTTAGCTGTACCTATGAACCCCCTTGGCAAATACTGTGACTCAGAAGGTGTGGCGATACTAGATTTAAAATTACAATATACTAAACCATGGGGATACGAGGCAACTGACATACCATTATTTTGACAACTGCTGCACATTAGGAGCATTATTAATGTTAGCCTCATATTGTGCATGTGTGGGAAGTGGTACTCTTTTTCTTAGCATTTTCACAGCAATGTGTCTATCCAATGTTAATGTCGTACTCAACTAAGGAATTGTGAAGCTACACAGTGATCCTCTATTATGCTTTGCTGGTGTGCTTTTGATTTCTAGGGCAATGGATTGTCATAAATGGCTTTATTTTCCTTTGTTAGTTGCACAAAAGATTAGCACATGTTTTCTTTTAGGAACAAGAGTAGCAATTACAAGAAAAGCAGCGAGAACACCGAAGAGGCCAGCTAATGGACAAAGTAAAGTCTGGACGAGAGTAGCAATTACCCACGTGGCATCCACCGCTGTTGTTTCCAAGTACAATTTGTGTAATTGATAATTCGAGGAGTATTAGGCCATGATTTGTGTTGAAAATTCCAGGGCTTCGTATTTGGCTTAGGATACAGAGAATACAATTAGTTCCTGTTGTTTTCTTTTTGTAGCAAGTTTGTGTTCGTGAACTCCAACTGGTAAAACTCTAGAACAAATTTGGCCCGTAGCTAATACTACTACTTGCTTGAAATACTATTTTTATGTTTTATTGCAGTTGTAGATGTTCTGCTGGAATCTTGCAATGGATGCTTATATTATGTTGGTTGCAGCAAATTTGTTATAACATGCGCTCTCCTGTACTACTGTAACTGTTGTAATATTCCATTGTATTTGATTAAAGACATTGTATTCTGGTGTCAATTGCGTATATGTATGATCCAAATAGGAACTACTTTGCTGACCGAAATGTATACTGCAGTGCTTGAAGTTTAAGACAGATCAAGCTCAGGATGCAAAGAAGATGGAAAAACTGAACACCATTTTTTTTACTCTCATGACCCATGGACCTGATGGTATGTCTATTTTCTCCAGAGCTGCGGACATTCTATGTCAAGCCAATATAAGTGATGTTTCACTAATGTATTCCTACTCTTTACGTTGTGCAGCTGATATAAGTGATGTTTCGGGGAAGGAACAGGCAGAACAACAGCAATCAAAGAAAGGCCGGGGCAGGAGGCAGTAGTGTATTGGGTCTGTCTTGATTTTGTTCAAAGTAAATCATAACTGAAGTGGTGGATGGACATTTTGGCTCTTTGATTGCTCTCGTAATGTTCTGAAGGAGATGTGAGATATTTTGGGATTAATTCTCTTGAAAAGAACTGAGTACCTTATTACACTGTGGCCTGATCAGAAAAACAATCAAATCTTCAACCCTTACTTTTGCCGCACCTCTGTGGTTCTTTTAGTATGATATGTTGCATGATAATCTCAGAAATTCTTCGTTGTATCTTGCAAACTGCGTGGGGGTAGCAAAGCGATGTGTGGTCAGTTGATACTGCAGTTGTGAAGCAATTTGCATATGCATTCCTGCCAGATTAAAGCCGATAAAATTGGCTGTTTTTGCTGTGTGGCTCCTCTATATGCGAATCTGCCCATACATGTGGTTCACAAATATTTGTTTGTTCCTTCTTTCTTGGATTCAGAGCAGCAATATCAGGCAATATCATCAGAACGTGCCCGCTACTGCGATACGCAAATTCACCTCTGAACTCGATGCAAATTGAGTCTTCTTGAACTCGATGCGGTCACGTGCCTGAGCCAGGCATCATTCTTATTTTGATAATAATCCAGTTACTAATATTTAGTTTTATCAGATTTCTCTTCATAGTAGTAATTATCTAGGCAACATGCCCGAGCCAGGCATCATTTCTACCTTGAAAATCCAGTTACCACTCCCTCCTCTAGTCCTCTTTTTAATATGACGTTTAGTTCATTTTTATAGTTTATAACGTAAAAAATAGAGTAATATTTAGTTTGATTAGAGTTCTCTCATAACAATCTATTAAAAGAAGGTAAACCGACTGTTATACGAGATCTATTAAAAGGAGATAATCCGGCTGTGATACGAAGTAAGCTTATCTTACGAGATATATTAAAAGAAGGTAATTCGGTTGTTATACGAAGTAAGTTCAACTGGTTAGTGGTTAGGTTAGGTTTCTTGTGGAGTTGTGATGTAAGTAACCAACTCACCTAGTTTGGTTTCTTGTGGAGTTGTGATGGAACCAACTCACCCGGGTTCAAGATAGTGTATCTCAACTGAGTTGTTTTGTGGTGGAGCCAACTCACTCGGGTTAAGCCAGCGTATCTCAACTGAGTTTTGATGGAACCAACTCACATGGGTTCAAGCTAAGCCCGCATATTTCAACTGAGTTATAATGGAACCAACTCACTCAGGTTCGTTGGTTCAAGCTAGCGTATCTCAACTGGTTAGGTTCCGGGTTCAAGCCAGCATATCTCAAATGGTGGAACCCAGTGAACTGGTTACGTTCCAGGTTAAGCTAGCGTATCTCAACTGGTGGAACCAACTCAAACGTGATCAAGCTCCTCGACTGCGAGGTGTCTGTGGTAACTTCGTCAATTTTAAGATATGCCGGCTCAGTCTTCCTGACGGTTTTTAAACTTGTAAGCAGATTTCACCTAGGTCCACGAACTTGCAAATTGCACATCGAGATCCCTAAATTTGGTTTATTATATCATCTTGATCCAATGCCTTATTTGTCCGTGATCTTACCTACGTGGCATACCATGTGAAAGATGACATGGTAAAATTTCCCCTTTCCCTTTTTTTTATCCCCATCTTTTCTCTTCTTCCTCCACTATTGGATGCACCAGCGGCAGCGAGCAAGCAGCAGAAAAGGAGAGGGAGGTAGAGAGAGATTACACTAGTCACCTAGAAAGAGGCACTGACAATGGAGTGGAGCGCACCCTTGATCGACGCCTCTGCCTCTTTGTTGTCGCGCGCGTTACTAGTCGTTGCTGCCACCTCCTCTCGTCCGCCTCTTCGTCATCGTCCGTCGCCTCTTCTCCTCCACCTCTTCTACACGCCCGGGTATGCGCCGCCTCCTCCTATTCTCCATTTCTTCGTTGCCGTTGGCCGTTGCGCGCCCTGGATCTGCGTCGTCTACTCTTCTATGCCTCTTCGCCGAATATGCGCCCTACTCCCTTACTAGCTGGCCGAAGTAAGAACGCACCATCCCCGGCGGAGTTGCCGATGTGGCCCTATATCTAGTGGCAATGCAGCTGGCGGTGGCCACGGGGGGCGGAGGAGGTGCCAGTGGCTGCGGAGGACCCCTCCCTTGCCCTCGACTTTCCCGTAGCAGCAGCAGGCGGCGGCAACGGCAACGGCAACGAGGAAAAGGAGGCAACAAAGATGGTGGTGGTAGCGTCGAAGCAATAACAGTAGTAGCTGGCGGTTGCAGCGGCAAGGAAGAAGATGCTACGACGACATCTTCGAAGTAGTAGCAAGTGGCAGCGGGAAGGTGAGAGAGGAGGAAGAGGTATAAGGAGAGAAATGGAAGAGAAAAAAGGAAGAAAAGAAAAGGAAAATGAATAATAATTAATTAAAATATGCCATGTCATTATCCACATGACATGCCACGTAGGCATGACCACGATCAAATGAGTTTTTGACATAAATAATATAAAAAACTAAGTTTAAAGATCTCGATGCACGCTTTGCAAGTTTAAGAATCTAGATGAAACCTGTTGCTTATAAATTTAAAAACCACTGGTATAATTTACTTAAAAAAGACGAAGGGCTGCTTATAAGGTTAAAAGTTGTTGGTATAATTTACTCTAAAAATAAAATAGACGAATATTATATAGAGGGTGTTTAGATTCAGGTGTAAAGTTTTGGTATGTCACATCGGGATTATATAGGGTGTCGCATGGGGTGTTCTGCCATTAATAAAAAAACTAATTACAAAATCTGTCAGTAAACCGTGAGATAAATTTATTAAGCTTAATTAATCCATCATTAGCAAATGTTTACTGTAGCACCACATTGTTAAATCATGGGGCAATTAGGCTTAAAAGATTTGTCTCACAAATTAGTCATAATCTGTACAGTTAGTTATTTTTATTTAATACTTTATGAACGTGTTTAAACGTTCGATGTGACAGGGTGAAAAATTTTAAAGTGAGATAAGGGCCATACTAGATTGGAGAGGGTCATAAATTTCGATGGTAAAGACCGGATAGGACCGTGTGTGATTTTGAAAAAAAAAAGGAAAATAAAAAAATGTAAAAGGCTTCGTAGCACATCTTCTTTTTTCCGGTCACCGTGTGTTACTTCTGACAGAGCCGGTCAAACCATAGCTCTGAGATGCTTTTCAGCGGACAGGAGCTTTTCGGGAGAAGTCCATATGTGCGCGTCTTTTCCTCTCAGAGAACTCCACTACTCACGAAGGTTAAAAGGGCATAACTAATTATGGCCATTCCAGCATCAAAGATTCATTATGGCCTTAGGTGGTGGTTGAGAAGGAGGGACTAAACTTTAATCCCTTTCACAAAAACATAAGATAATGACTTATGTTTTTGAGTTTAGCCCCTCTCCCAAACACCCTCTTAGGCTTTGATTGGAAAGTTTATAGCAGCCATACCTTCTATCATCTCAATCTCTAACTTCTATTGTTTAGATTTTTACCTACCTTTTAAAAGTTTGTGATTATCTATACTCCTTTAAAAAATAATGATGATGATAAATAGTGAATCTGCCCTCACCCCTCACCAACTCCCTACCCTTTCGAAGTGAGAAGAAAGGAGTCAACCACCACCTCTACTTTTTATGAGAGGTAAAAATAATATTGTAAGGCCATATGCCACATATGTTAATCACAAATATATGTAGAATTTAAAATATAATATATATAAAAAATAATCAATAAAAGTAGGTTAATAATCATTTTTATCAATTAAAATCATGTTGCAACGCATGTGCAATATGCTAGTAGTATTCAAAAAAATAACAAGAAATGTGAAGCTAAAACCCTAGTTTTCCTAAATTATCAAAAGCTAACTACTACATCTGTTTAAAATAAGTGTAACTGTGGATATCCATTTTATTTTTAAAAAATATAAAAAATTAAAAAAAATAGTCACACATAAAGTACTAGTAATGTTTTATAATAATAATAATAATAATAATAATAATAATAATAATAATAATAATAATAAGACGAATGGTCAAAAGATTGACATAAACAGTATAAAACTGCACTTATTTTGGGACAAAGAAAATATTAACCAGCTACTTACTAGAATCAGTCACTTTGAATCGCAGGAACGAAAAATGCATGATTATGATAGGAACTCAAGTGTAAAAAAAAATAATTGCAAAATGCAAAAAAAAAACACACATAATGATCATTTGATTGGACCGTAAGAAAAAGTAGAAATCGGATGAGAAAGATATATAAACTCAAATCAAAATTCTAAGAGGTTGGAGCTCTTCCTAAATTGTCTTCTATATGATTGTCCATTCCATAAAAATTTCAAAGGATAAAATATGATTTAATCATTTGTTTTAAAGGCTTTCATTAGAAAATTTTTCATTAGGATTAAAATCTTTCAAAATTTCTAAGTTTTTTCTACAAATCAAAAGCGCCCTAAACTTCCCAAACAGAACCTAATACTACTAGCACATCCCACAAGTTCTTGCGGATGCTCAAAAGTTTCCATTATTCCATGCCCGAAATGCCATGCTGCAAGAACAGGCATGATCATTCATTCCATGTAGCACGTAGCAGTTTCTCGTTTCCAACTCGAACATAGACCAGCAGGTAAAACCAAAATCTTTGCTGCCATGTTGGGGTGTTGCCAAGAGACCGACCGGTTCTCCCGTTGCCTCTCTGCCATCTTTTCACCGCGCCGTTTGCTCTGCTCCGTGCTGGTAAAAAGCAGCGAGTCGTGCGGTGACTTCCCGAGCAGAATCATGGCCGGACGAACGAGAGGGACTTTTGGGGGGTGGAGGGGAGGGGGGGGGGGGGAGCTTTTTCGCCTGTTTAAGCCTCAAAAGAGTCGAACAAAAAGCTCACCATTCACCACAGGTTCCTGCTAAAATCCACCCGGCTTTATTGCCGAGGCGATGTCTTCTGTCTTCAGTCTTCAGAGCAGGTACAATAGCATATTATAAGTCAGCTATAACCACGTATCGAGAAAAAAAAGATAAGAGAAAAACGTGGGCTACAGATTTGTAACCAGCTGCAGCACGGACTCCAAGACGTATATGTGTATGAGAGGTGGGACCGAGTATTAATGGTGTAGTATATTTTTATAGTTAACTATTGTATGAATGGGCTATTAGATTAGCTATAGTTGATTTGGAGCCCGTAGTTGGCTATTTCGAGTACCAGCAACTGTAGCTGTGTTGTCGGATATTTTCGGTAACAAGCCACGTCGACTTACACAGGCACTCTATCAACTCAGAGTCCAACAACGAATCCAAAATATTAATTTATATAGTTCAAATAAAATCATATGTAAGGACGTATACAATAAAAGCCACTGCTATCAGTGGTCCTGAGATGCCACGTAGGCTAAGATCACATAGAAATCACACCACTCTATAATGGAGGGAGATGCTATATGGGCTAAGACCACAGAGAAGTCAACCACCCTATAATGGAGGCTACTGTAAAGTAGTTTTCTATTTCAGCATATAGAGTTTTACATGTTAGCCTTTATAATTGTTTTTACTTTCAGATAGTTAAAACTTTTGTGCTTAATTTAGATCCTACACTCCTGATGATCCCACTGTCAGCCTCTCACTTTTCTTATCCTTATCCATCTTGCATTCTTGCTCAATCTCCCCTCTTCTCCACCTCTCTCCCACTTCAATATCTTCACCGGCGGCACTCCTCTCCCCTCCCCGGTGGTCCCGCCTCTCTTGCAAACCGGACTGCATCCACTAATGAGCTCGTAGGCGGAGGGCGACGAGATCAACGTGGATCGAGGCTCACTGCCGGGCACCATGACGGGATCTCAGGCGGAGCGAATCGAGACGGCTCCCTTCCTAGGTACCGCTGTTAACGCGGATCTGGGTGGCCCCCTCCCCAGCTGCCGCCTCCTCTCCTTGTTTGGTCGCTGACACTTGCCCCGGCCACTGCCATTGGAGCGGAGTGAGACGGCTCCCTCCCTAGCCGCCGCCGACGCAGATCGAGGACGGCTACCTCCCCAGCCACCATCTTCCTTTCGCCGCCGGCGCGCATCCCCGGCCGCGCTGTCGGCGCAGATCTTTCCGGCATCCCATGTCGTCGGTGGCATCTTTCTGATGGTGGCATCGGCGTCGTCTTCCCGATGGTGGTCTCCAGGTATCTCTTTTCTCCTCCTCTCTCTCTCTCTCCAATTTTTTTCCTTGCGACTTCCCGGACCAAACAAATCAGCTCCTCTCTCTCCTAGTACCACCGCTTAACCATAGTTCCCTCTATAGGCTCCTCTGACACACCACGGAACCACCATTCCCCTCCACGGTGGCATCCAAATCTACGTAGAGGCTAAGACCACTAGTTTGAGACCATGCGTTGTACATGGCCTAAACAATATCGTCGAAAGCTGGTAAAACAGAGTACGTGACGGACCCTTTTCTGGAAAAGAAAAACTGTAAACCATATTGTCGAGAATTGCCACGCTGGTCTTCCACAACGCTACGACTCAGCGACCAGCCGGAGCAAATGCAGGTCTTGTACAATGCAGTACGACTAAACGGCCAGCCGAAGCAACTGCCCTAGTGGCCCACGAGTGGGCGAAGCCTCGGGATTTCGGCAACGTTTTTCAACTCGGCCGTTCGTGTCTGCACGTACACCTGCCTTTCCTCTCTGCCTACCGTCTCCAACCGTCCGGCCACCGTCCTTAACCTCCGGCCTACGGTTTCCCCTACCAAGAACGGACACACATTTACTGCACCGTATAGCTAGCCTTAAAACTAGCATGTTAGATTTGCCAACTCGCCATTGGTCCATCCCTTGCTTGGAACTCGGAGCAACACCAAAAACCTGCAAGCAAACAACACGATTAATAAAAGACGCCGACCGAGCAGATCCCGTGTTCCCGATATTCTCCAACTTTGGACATTTTCAACCCAATAACTAAGATGATGTCCATAACGTTAAATAAGTTGTCACTTAGGACAAAAAAAAATGATGTGGCAAGTGAATAAATGAGAAAAGAGAAGGAAACGAGACATGGTTTCTACATAATATCCAAGACATCATATGAAATAAGTAGCATTAAATTGAAGTATGGAATATTGATGTTTGCATTGGAAGAGTAGTGTCTAATACTAGTTTTTTTTTATGATGTGGAGTTTATGGAAACCATGTCTAGTGTTATGGGTTGGGACTACCCTTAAAGAAGGTACAATAGCAGACTATAAGCCATCTATAAATATATTTTTAAAAAATAAAGAAAGAGAAAAGCAGCGGGCTACAGATCTGTAGCCAGCTGCAGCACGAACTCCAAGACGTAATATATGTATGACAGGTGGGACCAGATATTAATAGTATATTAAGCAACTATTGTATGAATTAGCTATTACATTGGCTATAGATAATTTGAAGCTAGTAGTGGACTATACTATTAATTGGTCTTACATATGCCCACCACCACCACCATCATGCGTACATGTGGCCGTGGCAGTACATCAACATACTACACTGCATCTCCTCTTATTACTGCTGACAAAGAAAACATAGATATGAAGATAATTGCAACTTGGATTGCCAGCCTCCATCCCCTCGTCATTACAGTAGAAACCATTAATTCCAAGCTACGTAGCCGTAACATGCACGGATGGGCCCAAAAAAAGAAATGGCCATGTATCAGTATAATTCAGTATGGCCACTTCCGTCAGATCACAATAACGTGATCTCCATGTGTGAGGGGGCACGGGTGCACGGGCAGCGCCGGATTGGCGGATCAGCCCGACCGATCGGCTTATCGACGAGGGCGAGCGGATGCGCGATGATACGCAGTTAAGCGCCGGTGGACGTACCACGCTACGCATACGGCATACGTGCAGTGCAGGGGTGCAGCAGCACGTCATGTACGCGGCTGGTTGGTTGCCCCCACCGGGCGCTGGTACCTTATCGCGTGGCAGTACGATGGCTCCGGGTCGTCGTCACGTAGCTATTTTTAACAAAGTAACTTGTTTTAAAATGAAACTATTTCTTTATCTATCCTTTTATTTTAACCAATCACAATAATTCTTTTTAACTACTTTCTCTTCTTCACTAATTATAACCCTACTACAATCATTTCTATTTATTTTCTTAATATACATGCCTACCTAAAAATTTGTTACATTTTGGACGGAGGAAGTACGTGATATCGCCGGCGCCGGCCGGGGCCCTCGCGTCTTCTTCTTCCCCTCGATCCGTCACGTCCGGCCTCTCTCTGCCACTGCCTCCGGTCAATCCTGGTGCCCTCGACTTTTGCCTTCGTTCCTACGTACACCCTGTCCATGCGAACGTCCATCGCCGCATGGGGCCAACACAGTGTGCTAATGTACAACGGCTTCATTTTCACGTGGCAAAGCAAAGGTGGCTCTTTTATTTCTTTTGTGAAAACTCCAAATGTATTGTTATGGAGGTGTCATTACTAAAGAAAAAAGAAATTATCAAATACCTTAAAATATACATCGATCGTAGTAGCATGACTTAAAATAAGGGGACGGTAATGATAAGGGGCATAATAACCGCACCAAGCTTAAAATAAACTTAAACAAAGATTTTTTAAAAAAATTGTCGGGTTTTCTTACTATTTCACCTGCTAGGGTACAGTAACCCCTTATCTCCTTAAGGTTTAAAGAAGACACATACAACGTTATGAGCATGAAGGAGTATTATCTTTTGCCGATCTAGATTTGAGGATTGGGTAGTAGACCGTGAGGTTATCTTGGGTTTCTCCACAGGCAAAGACAACCTCTATTTGCGACATAGTGAATCGCTTATGTATTGAAAACTGCGTTGAGTTTCCTAACATGTATTACCTGTCTCGTTATTTTCTTATTAGCTCATTAGCTACAACCAAAAATTAAAATTTAAAACTTGATTTTGGATTTGATTTTCATCCCAGTCTATTTTTAACTGGTTTTTGGACATCTAATGATACATGTGCTAAAATTTTATGTATAAATTATTTTTAATATTTATTTATTTATATCATGTCTTACATGTCGTAGCTAGAATGACAAGAGTCTAAATTAACTTGACTTCGGGATAAACCCTACATTCCCCTCCTTCCTCTTTTCGGTTGGTGATCAGTTGAGTAGTGGTTTGGGATCTAGGAGAGGTGTTAGATTGTGAGAAGAGTCAAAAAGACAGATGAGCTAATGGTAATAGATGATACCGAGAATCGTACTGTTAGAATGAAAAACGTGTCTATTTTTTCTATGCTCAAAAGCTTTACACGTGAATATTTAGGAGAAAAAAGAATACATCTATAACATGACAGTTGTTATAGACAACATAAACTCCTAGAGAACAAGAAAAACTATCAATGGAGATGACTAGACATATCTATGCTCCTTAAAAAAAGAGAGTAATAGCGGTGATGGCGCCACCACCCTGTCACTAACTCCCTATTTTCTTTGAGGGAAAAAAAAGACATGTCAGATTAGAGAATCCACGACTTCTCTTTTTTTTAAAGGAAAATGAACAATATTAGATTAAAGTGTCGACACATTAGAGCAAATTTAATAGTATAGCCCACTACTAACTCCAAATCATCTATAGCCAATGTAATAGCCAATTCATACAATAGTTGCTTACTATACTATTAATACCTGGTCCCACCTGTCATATGCATATTACGTTTTAGAGTCCGTGCTGCAGCTGGCTACAGATATGTAGCCCGCTGCTCTCCTCTCTCTTTCTTTATTTCTTTAAAATATATTTATAGTTGTCTTATAACCTGCTACTGTATCTGCTCTTAGTAGCGAATATATGATATAATTAAGATATGATATATGCAGGAAGTAATAGTAATAACAGGTCAACGATATTTTTTTTAAGTTGAAATCCCTATCAACGCACGCTAGTAACAAGAGAAATACCCTCGGTATACCGTGGTGTTACGCTACTCGTGCAGTAGTGCCTCATCATGGGCTCGTCGAAGCAAAAAGCTCCGAGTCTCCAGCAACGTTTGCCGCGGACCAGGTCCACGGAGCCGCACCGCCGCGAGCCCCGCCCCGTCTCCTCGTACCGAGCGCCGCAACGTTCCGACGCGCACGCGTCGCGCCATCACTGGCCGCCTCCCCAGCATCCCATGTCGCTTTCCCACCTCTGCCCACCCTCACATGCCCCGTTAACCAGACCTCACTCTCCTCAGCTCAGCTCAGGCTCAGCTCCTCTATTAATTCCTCCCCGACCACACAGCACCAACCAACTAAACCACCACCACCACCACCCCCCGCCGAGACAGTGACACTCTCCTTCCGCGGCAATGGCGGCGGCGGGCGGTGCTGTGCTGCTGCTGGTGCTGGCGACCGCGACTTCGGTGACAGGGCAGCATGACTACAGCGACGCGCTCCACAAGAGCATCCTGTTCTTCGAGGGCCAGCGCTCCGGCCGCCTGCCACCCGACCAGCGCCTCCGCTGGCGCCGTGACTCCGCCCTCAACGACGGCGCCACCGCCGGCGTACGGACCACCACCGCTCTCTCTCTCTCTCTGTTCTAGCATTAATGCGGTTTGCAATGTAGTAGTAATGATGACGATGTCGCTGACGGTTTCTTGGAATGGTGGCGTGGCGTGGCGTGGCAGGTGGACCTGACGGGAGGGTACTACGACGCCGGCGACAACGTGAAGTTCGGGTTCCCGATGGCGTTCACGGCGACGCTCATGTCGTGGGGGCTGATCGACTTCGGGCGGAGCTTCGGGGCGCACGCGGCGGAGGCGAGGGAGGCGGTGCGGTGGGCGACGGACTACCTGATGAAGGCGACGGCGACGCCCAACACGGTGTACGTCCAGGTCGGCGACGCCTTCCGCGACCACTCCTGCTGGGAGCGCCCCGAGGACATGGACACCCCGCGCACCGTCTACAAGGTCGACCCCTCCCACCCCGGCTCCGACGTCGCCGCCGAGACCGCCGCCGCCCTCGCCGCCGCCTCCATCGTCTTCCGCGACGCCGACCCCGACTACTCCAACCGCCTCCTCGACCGCGCCATCCAGGTTCACTCCACACTCCATTAATTAAATACCACTGTACTAACTCCTCCTACTAGTACTGTTCCATGTCATTAGGGCATAAATGAGTAACTAAATGTATGCACGTTTTCTTTCTATCACTGGCACTTGCAAGCCACTCTCACTTGAGCACTCACTCTGCTTCGTGTGTGTGATGGGAAGGTGTTCGAGTTCGCGGACAAGTACAGGGGCCCATACAGCAGCAGCCTGCACGCGGCCGTGTGCCCCTGCTACTGCGACTACTCCGGCTACAAGGTGCGCATCCGTTGCCTCCTTCCCCTCGTTGCGATTCGGTTGGTTGATTGATTAACCGAGCGTAATGTGCGTCGCGATTGTGCAGGACGAGTTGCTGTGGGGCGCGGCGTGGCTGCACAAGGCGTCGCGGCGCCGGGAGTACCGCGACTACATCAAGCGGAACGAGGTGGTGCTCGGCGCCAGCGAGGCCATCAACGAGTTCGGCTGGGACAACAAGCACGCCGGCATCAACGTCCTCATCTCCAAGGTAGTACTAGCAACTAGTACCACTGCACTCGAGTTACTGCTACTCTTATTGACACTACTGCTTGTGGTAAAGTTAGTAACTGTGTTGCTGACGTGACGAGTCACGAGAGGCGAGGTGAACTATATGAGAATCAACCTACTAGCAGCGTTGTTAGATTGTTTTTTCGCAGCTGCCGATCGAGAGTCACTTGCTGGTTTTGATAGTAGTACTAGTTAGCGTCAGCTTTGCGTCGTGTTGATAGTAGTACTGGTTAGCATCAGCTTTGCTCGTACTGTTTTTGGCCGGGGACGCTCGGTCTCGGCCAAAACACTGGCTCTGCTGCTGCTGCTCAGCGCTGCGAGCCTGCAACGCTGCGTCGGCCCAGCGGGCGGGCACATGCGACTTACGTCGCGCCTCCCGGCTTTTTCCACCAACCCTGTGCACGACCATTGACTACACGCGGTTCCGTGGTATGGCCAAGTTTGGCTTTAGATTTTTTGCACATTTCAACATGAATAAAATCGACACACTACAAATAAAAAATCTTGTAAATGTTTACGTAAATTTTAGGCAATGCCCAAAAGTTGGCCGGTACAAATAGAAACATGGCGTGGATGTACAGGATGTCACGAGCACTGCTGGAAAAAAAAAGACGTGCGAGCTTGTGCAAAAAGGTTTGCTAGGGCTGTGTTTAGTTCCTGAAAAAATTTAGAAGTTTAGAGAAAGTTAGAAGTTTTAAAAAAAATTAAAAGTTTATATGAATAGAAAAGTTTTAGATATGATCTGATGGAAAGTTAGAAGTTTAGGTTAGTTGGGGTGAACTAAACACGGCCTTCGATAGGCCAGGGGCATGGGCGATGTGGAAAGAAGCACCTTTTCACGCACCTTTTGGCCCCGGCATGTGGGACATGCTGACCCCGGTTCGGTTGGCACGGCCTGAAGTTCTCCTCCACAAACTTCAAACTTTCCATCACATCAAAAACTTTTCTATACATATAAACTTCTAACTTTTTTTTCAAACTTCCAAGTTTCTTCAAACTTCACTCTTTTTCCACCAACTAAATTAGCATTGTGTGTTTGGCCGTATTTAGGGTGTGTTTAGTTCACGCCAAAATTGTGTGTTTAGTTCACGCCAAAATTGAAAGTTTGGTTGAAATTGAAACGATGTGATGGAAAAATTGTAAGTTTGTGTGTGTAGGAAAGTTTTGATGTGATACAAAAGTTGGAAGTTTCAAGAAAAAGTTTGGAACTAAACTCGGCCTTAGATTCAAACTTTTTTCTTCAAATTTCCAACTTTTCTGTTACATCGAATGTTTGGACACATGTATAGAGCATTAAATGTGGACGGAAAAAAACCAATTACACAGTTTGCATGTAAATCGCGAGACGAATCTTTTGAATCTAATTACGACATGTTTTGATAATGTGATAAATATTTGCTAATAACAGATTAATTAGGCTTAATAGATTCGTCTCTCAGATTACATACGAAACCTATAATTTATTTTATTATTAGTTTACGTTTAATACTTTAAATGTGGATCCGTATACTTAAAAAATTTTGGCACACCAACTAAACATAGCCTTTGTTTTGCTGCTGCTACTGTACCACACGTCATGTCTCCTCCTACTTGCGTTATTCCTTCCGTGTGCAAGCACCAGCTAGACAGAGCAATGTTGCTAGTGCTACCATCATCCTGCGTGTGTACTGTACTGTACTAGTATAGTACTCCCTCCGTCTCATAACAGAAGTGATTTTGAGTTTTTGTTTGTACTGTTTGACCATTCATTTTATTAAAAAAATTTAGAATTATTATTTATTTTCTTTGTGACTTACTTTATTATCCAATGTATTTTAAGCATAATTTTTCGTTTTTTTATATTTACACAAATTTTTTTAGGACGATGTTTGGATTATGTTTTGTCTCCTTGGTTGTCAACTGTAACCACATCTTGGTGGATAGCAGAGTAGTTTGGTTCAGTTTTAGTACATCGTTTGTGTACATTAGTGACTACTGACTATAGATAATTGTAATATGCTGCCTGCAGATAGAACAAGCGTATTGTTTTATCTCCTGCTCCACTTCTTGTGTCCATACATCAACCAAGCATGTGAACTGTATAGTTAGATTGACATGATGTGTTCTCCTAAGTCCAAACTAATCACGCAGCCATTTCCTGACGTAGGCATTTGTATGCAATGGTGATGATAGGGATGGATATGCACACCGTGGCACAGTGTTCTCCGCACACACATGACATAAGAACACATGTCGTGATCCTCCATGTTCTTTCAAGCATTTGCTGCCATCATTTTGGATTGCTAGCCAGCAGTACATTATACAATTACAGTTTTGAGATCCCCACAGCATGAGTGATTGATTACATTATCTAAAAACCGAGTGATTGATTAGCTGAACTATTACTCGTCACTGGACCGTGGGACCAGATTCTTTGTGGATAGATTAATCAACATGTAAGCAGCGTCAGAATGCCAGTCCACACTTTTTCAGTAGCTCGGTACTAGCACTGTACTATCAAATTTTCCAAGCACACTAGAATATCTCATAGATTAATGGATCATCATCCTCTGGAAAATTATTGATTAGTAGGAACGAAGTAGAGGCGAGCATATTTGTCTCTCATCAGTGACGACTCGCTCTTCTCTGGCCTTGCGCTCGGCAGTCGGCACGTTGCTGTTGCAGGCAATGGATGCTTCAGCGCTCACGGGTCTCGTGTTCCCGGCCTTGCTGACAGCCTAAACCACACCAAATCGATGACTTGATGTTCCTCATAATGACATGGTATTGGGTGATTAGCCACTAATGATATCTCTCTCCTGTGATTTGATTTTGCAGGAGGTCCTGATGGGGAAGGACGAGTATTTCCAGTCGTTCCGCGTGAACGCCGACAACTTCATCTGCACCCTCCTCCCCGGCATCTCTAATCATCCCCAGATCCAGTACTCCCCAGGTCTGTCACCTCCTAACAATCTAGCCCAATACACGCATAATCATCATTTGGATGCAAATGACTGATACGTGTGTTGTGTGTTTATGGCAGGTGGGCTGCTGTTCAAGGTGGGCAACAGCAACATGCAGCACGTGACGTCGCTGTCGTTCCTCCTCCTCGCATACTCCAACTATCTCAGCCACGCCAACGTCCGCGTCCCCTGCGGCACCTCCTCCGCCTCCCCCGTCCAGCTCCGACGCGTCGCCAAGCGCCAGGTAAAGGGAAAAAAAATTCTAGCTGCGACCAGGATTTACCAAACCGTTTTCAATCGATTTGAATAGAGTTATCGTCACTCTACGTTTTAGCGGTTAGCACAAGATATACTATGATTTTTAAAACTAGAAGATTGCCGCACCTGATAACCGTGGGTTTTGTAAGCCTTGGCCATGACACGCATGCCGCCGCCGTTGCTGCGCCGTGAAACCAACTGAGTTTTTTTTGGGTGCAGGTGGACTACATCCTGGGCGACAACCCGCTGCGGATGTCGTACATGGTGGGTTACGGGTCGAGGTACCCGCTGCGGATCCACCACCGGGGGAGCTCGCTGCCGTCGGTGGCGGCGCACCCGGCGCAGATCGGGTGCAAGGCCGGGGCGACCTACTACGCCAGCGCGGCGCCCAACCCGAACCTCCTGGTGGGCGCCGTGGTGGGCGGGCCCAGCAACACCAGCGACGCGTTCCCCGACGCGCGGGCCGTGTTCCAGCAGTCCGAGCCCACCACGTACATCAACGCCCCGCTCCTCGGCCTCCTCGCCTACTTCTCGGCCCACCCCAACCTGGCCCAGTCCGATCTCCTCTACGACTGAAAATCTGACGGCCCAACACAAGTGGCCTTCCCCGTTTTGCATTGGCCGTAGTGGGCCGATTTGATCGAGTAATTGGTTAGTAATTTAGTATTGATCCTGTAGCGTGTGCCGATCCTTTCCTGTAAAAAATGGCAGGAACGGGGATTGGTCGTAGCGTGGTTGTATGCACTGTACCCTAGCATTTTAGTAGCAATTTAGCGTATGCTGGATGCGATGTCTTATTGGCATCAGATGTCCATCCGGCTATGCGATGCATTCTGTTCGGCTATCTACTCTAAGCATCCTTTGTCAAGTGTCAAGGGGGCCGGAATTAGTGCCAGGATTAAGCTTTAAGCTAAGCATATCTGTAACGTCGTCGTCCACAAGACATGTCATGTGCAGCATTGGGCCTTTTTCCGGCTTTTGGGATTACTCCTCGCTGGAATCCAAAGCTTTGCTTGAAGCAGGCAGCTATTCTCGTACATTGTTCATCATTCCCCTTGGTGGCTATATGGATTTATGCCTCGAAAGAGCAAAGTTGCGTGCTCCGTGGCTGAAATGGAAGAAGGCAGTTTTGGCCCGGGGAAGTCAGAAGTCGCTATCGCTTTTTCTCCTCGCTCTCTGGAACACCAGGATTTCACTAGCCCCGTACCAAAAATCGAGCTGTTTCTACAATGAGTTGTGTGCAAAAGATTTGAAATTTGTACGTTTTGAACTGGCTTTTGTTGTACGAGACTACGGGTACGTGGTGGAGCTTGATTGGGGACTACGGGTACGTGGTGGAGCTTGATTGGGCAGGAGACATTCTTCTTCTCGTATGGGTGAAGCAGTATATGGACCCATGAAATGAGAGTGATGGATCAACCCATGCAGTAGTGCAGATCATCACATGCCGGGATGATTGTGAAACGGGAGATTTGTGCCCTGTTCTGGCACGGGGCTGTATCTTTTCTGCTGCCGTTCGATGGAATCGTCAATGTTCAGAAACATATTCAGAAAAAAATGGACAAACAAACAGCTGCTCCAGTAGTACTGCTACTGTTGCTATATATGCCTGTGATGCTTTACGGTGCACTTTGGTCCTGTTTAGTACACAAAACAAAAAATTTCACGCTGTCACATCAAATGTTTAGACACATGTATGAAGTATTAAATGTAGGGAAAAAAATCAACTATATAGATTACGTGTAAATTTCGAGACAAATTTTTTAAAACTAATTCCGCCATGATTTGACAACGTGGTGCTACAGTAAACATTTACTAACAACGGATTAATTAGGATTAATAAATTCGTCTCGCAGTTTTCTAGCTTAATCTGTAATTTATTTTGTTATCAGACTATGTTTAATACTTTAAATATGTGTCCATATATCCGATATGATAATAAAAAAAAATTTCCAATTAAACAAGGTTTTTAAGCTAGCAGCGACTGCAACTGCCAATGCTGCAGCTGCAAGCATAGCTAAACACAACTTCACTTCGGTAGCAACGTACTAGTCACCTTATTTAGCTATTTTACCTTGTATACGGCAGTGCCACGGAATTGAAGGAACTGTAGTTGCTGCACGGTTATTGCCAATTCACTCACAGCAAATACTAGTAGTACTTTATATAGCCATTTTATCTACGGAGTTGGTGAGTATATTTATAAACGAATCATTGCAAATTGTTAGTGCATCTACACAAACCATAGAGATAAGAGTAGCATACATGGCTTTCACTATGTTTTGTTTTATTCCTGTGCAGAATAGATTAGGGTAAGCAAAAGGGGTAGGGCATAAACAAGTTTGTACTGAGCTAAAGGTCCAAAGCAAAATAGTAATCATTCCTTGAAAAAACAAGAAAAGGAACAGAAGAGGACAAGAGCAAAAGAATCCATGGGAGGAAGAGAAAAAAGAAAGAAGCGTTCACTCCACTTTCACATAATCACCCCTCGACAGCTGCTTAATTACAAGAATGACCCCCGACCGGCGCTACCCGGCGCCGCCGCTGCAGATGCCGGTGAGCAACACCGGCAGCCTCGCCAATGACGAGGAGGCGGCGGCGCCGGCGGAGGAGGAGGAGGAGGAGCCCTCCGTCGCTCTCTGCAGACGCCACCGCCCACGCTCTTCGGCGGCGGGTTGCTGCGGCTGCGGTGGGCGCACCCTCCCGTCCTCGAACAGCGCGGTGGCCGACACGGCCGCCGCCGCTGCAGCCGCAGCCGCAGCCTCCCGCTCCGAGCCGCCGCCGCCGACGCCGTCGCAGAGGAAGTCCGCGCCGGCGAGCTGCCTCTCCATGTCGAGGAACTCCCCCAGCGACGTCGGCGGCCCACCGGCGTCGTCGCGGCAGAGCCGCCACCAGCTCCCGCCGAGGCTGCGGCTGCCCCGGCGCTGGCGCCTCCTCCGCCGCCGCCGCCACCCGCCCGCGCGCCTCCCCTCCTCCTCCTCCCCCGCCGGTCGCGCCGCAAGCGGGGCCCTCTCCCTCTCCGTCCTCGCCGGCGTCCTCGCCGCGCGACGCTGCCCGCCGCCGCCGAACGCCGACACGCCCATCAGCGTCCCCAGCGTCGTGCTCCGGTCGGGAAAGAACGACCCCGTCGACTGCCCAAAGAAGCCAAAAAAAAAACAACAAACACCTCCATTGATGACGCAAGAAATCAAACAGAGAGCACACGAAATGCAACCTCTGGAACTAACCTCGGTGTCGAGATCGGAGGAGGAGGGCGAGGAGTAGTCGGCGGAGGGGGAGGAGGGGATCATGTCGGCGTCGAGGTCCATCGCCGCTGCCTGCCTCGCTCGACGGTGGCGAGGCGAAGACTGAAGCGAACTAGCGAAGGAAGGGTTTATAAGCAAGTACTCCCTCCCTAGTTTACGTGTCCAAATTTAATCACGTGTCTTATTTAATTTTTTTAAAAAAATTATTTAAAAACATATCACGTATAAAATATTATTTTAATAAAAATAAAAATATTAATTATAAAAATAAATAAATAAAATGAATAAAGTTATATATGAAAACTTATAGCTGCGATTAAAATGGATGAAAGAGGTATAGTTTGGGGCGCGGCAGTTGGATGGGGTCGGCAGCGTGTGTGTGGTGTGGATCGACGGCGATGCGGTCTTAGGAATTAGGACCCCAGTTGCTGTGGCTGTGGTGGTGGCTTGTTTTACTACTACCCCAGTACTAGGCGTCATCGGCATTGGCTAATGGGTGCAGACCTCCGTGAACGAACAGGCAAGGCCCACACATCCTTGGATGTTGGATCTTATTCCTCGTGGTTCATCCATGATCCATCCTCGCGAGCAAAAAGGACCATTATTTATCGAGAGGAATTTCGAGGTCTTTAAATTGAGTTTAGCTTTGGTGCGAAACTATACAGAAACTTGGGTAGTTCCTTATAAATCATGGTGAAAATTGATTGGCATGAATTACATTGAGGGCCTGTTCACTTTGATGAAAAAAAAAACTTACCAAAATTTTGCCAAAATTTCTTATATAGTTACCAAAATTTGGTAAGGTTGAAAATAGCATCAAAGTGAACAGGCTCTGAATCAATTAGGTAAGGATGTACAAAATTTGGTAAGGTTAAAAATGGCATCAAAGTGAACAGGCTCTGAATTAATTAGGTAAGGACGTACAGGTTTTGAGATGCTTTAGGTGGTTTTAGTAGTTTTTGTGGTGTTCTTGATGTGCTTCTAAAGTTGTTTGTTATACTGGTATTTTTTCAGGGTGAACCCTTATTTCTTGGGTTGGTCTTTGTACTTCTTTTCTTCTACATGGCAACATGGAGGGACATCGCAGGCTAGAGACCAAAGGAAAAACATATCAAAGTTTCAAACAACTCCAACTGCTCCTTTGGGTACATTCTCAATATGCATTTAAGCCAGTACTGGGCATCATGTTTGCCATAACTTATTACGGTTTCGGGTTTGTTTGACGCAGACATGTTTTTGCGAGTATTTCCGGTTAAAGAGACACTAGATCATTGTTGCATATGGTACGAGTAACACAGGATTGTGATTGGTATTCCCTCCGTTTTAGGTTATAAATCGTTTCAGGTTATAAGTTGTTTTGACTTTGGTCAAAGTCATACTACTCTAAATTGGACCAAGTTTTATAAATAAATATAGTAATATTTACAATATCAAATTAGTTCAATTAAATCTATAATTTAATATATTTTCATAATAAATTTGTCATGGGTTATACTAGTATTTTTTCTATAATGTTAGTCAAACTTAAGGCAGTTAGTCAAAACGATTTATAACCTAAAATGGAAGGAGTGTATATAACATAAGAATTGAGATGACCGTGATAAACCGATCGATCAACTGTACCATCACATATTCATGTTAACAGGAAAAAAAAAGGTTTTTGTAAGCTAGTAAGTACTCCTGTTAACATGAAGGAAAGAATCTTGAAGCCGACAAGGATAACATCTATACATGGGAAGAATTAAACAATTTTGCAGCAATTAGCATAGCTACGAGATTCTCCCTACTGTTTGGTGCATTCCTCTGGAAATAGTTTCTAAAATGAGCTATCAGATTCTGCTGGAGAATTTTCTTCTAGCTACTCCGGTGCATATGGTACCAAAATTCTGTCAGCCAATGGTCAGTCAAGGGCGCCTGTGATTTGATCTGAAGTGAGAGCAATAATAATGTGACTAACTGATGTAAATGACTGCCAAATTGGCTAATAGTATAATTAATACAACTGTACCATGAGTCTATGATGCTCATAGATAGAGGAACTAATATATGTTTACAAATACTTCTATTTATTTTTGCGAAGAATATCCCTATTTGTCATAAGACATTATTCAAATGTAAACACCATTTCTTTTAATTACTAAATTTATAAATGTTCCAATACATACTTATAATATCAAAGTATGCCGTATGATAAATATAGATATATTCACTTCATTCTAAAATATACTCCACCATTTCTAAAATATAAGAAATTTTAGTTGGATAGAACATATCCTAGTATTATGAATCTAGATAGGCTCTATATCCAGATTCGTAATCCTTTATATTTTGGGACGGATGGAATAGAAAGTTATAGCCTTCGGCATGGGTATTAATTAAGAAGAGTGGTAAAAAATTTTGGTTATCTCCTCAGGATGGATGAGGTGACTAATTGTGGCTATAATAAAGTCAATAAGTAGTATGGGTAGTTTAATGATAAAAGTTAACTTCTACAAATATTAGGTTACTATATTTGAGCTAATTAATTATACTCTAGAAGTTATATTTTGGGATGGAGGAAGTAATATAGAATTTATTTTTCTGATAAAAATTATTAGTGGCCATAATTAAAACAATATCAGTCAACGCTTCTCATTAAATGAGAACAGTGGGCCATTAGCCAGCCATATTTTGGAATGGAGGAAGTAATATAGAATTTATTTTTCTGATAAAAATTATTAGTGGCCATAATTAAAACAATATCAGTCAACGCTTCTCATTAAATGAGAACAGTGGGCCATTAGCCAGCCACAAGCTTGAGGAAGAGAGATGCAGAAAAATAAATAGTAGTATTGACTCTCACATAAGAGCTAGCTCTATACATGTTTCAAATAGAAGCTAGCTCTATACATGTTCCAAAATAAATGATTTAAATACATAAGTAAGAGAGAGAAGAGGAAAAAAGTGAGTACAACCTTATAATATGAGCTTATATGTTGGCTCTATAATAGTAGCAAGTTTTACAGTAGAGATAGTAATCACCCGTAATTTTATTCGCATCATCTACTCATAAATTTAATATGGAGCTGACATATGCTGCAATACATTACGTCTAACACATTAGTACCAATAAATTTGCCACCAATTAATCCACTCCTCTCTTTTCTCAAATTCCTTAGTTAGATGTTTACTTCATCTTTGAATTCACAGCTTGAATTGAATGCACTGCTTGATTCTTTTTTTCATCTTTTAGAGCAGGTACAATAAAGCTGAGTCAGTAGGCTATACATTGATTCATATCACCAGAATCCTACGTAGAAGAGTGAGAAAAGCAGAGAGTGAAGAGGGTGGGCGCTTATTCTGTCGCCGGGTGATAGAACCGGAAACGAGGTCTTCAGCCTCCTTGCAGCAATAGTTTATATGTTTTGGTGGGCCTAGTGTTGTTTTCACGATTTGCTGTGCACAATTTTCCATCATCATTGGTGTGTTGGGCAAATAAAATCACCACAGCTTGTATAGTTGCATGCAACATAGATAGCTACAAGGATGAATGCTAGTTTTGATCACCACAGCTTGGATGCCCATGCATGAATTAATTGATTTTCTATTTAGTATAGCTAGTGTAACATCTAATTTACTGTATAAGCTTTCTCTCTCAGTGGCTATATATTACGTGGACAAATATTACCGCCGGTACCGAACCATACTATTGACCTTGCTCTTCCTTGCTTTAATAGGCTACTAGATGTAATACTAGCCCCCTAAGACCCTAATGATACGCATTTCCTCCTGCTTTTCAGCTTTTCTGGTTCGTCTTTGTCTACTTGTCTCTTCTTTAGTGAATTAACAATGTCGAGCTTCGGATCCTATCACCTAATTGACTCACTAGGAGTGAATTTTGCTGATGGATTTTTCAGCTCAAAACTTATTGTCCCATGTCCCATAAAATGTGCATCTCGCTCTGTCCTGTTTGTTCAGCAACTAGTGAATTTTGCTGATGGATTTTTCAGCTCAAAACTTTGTCCCATGTGCCACAAATGTGCATCTCTCTCTGTCCTGATTGTTCAGCAACTCTGCCAAGAATCTAGCCCAGTTCATGGTACTCCTGTTGATAAGTATTCGCTCAGTCCTCAAATAAGATCATCTTTGCTCCCTCTTGTCTATCCCAAAACAAAATAAATTTATCTTTGAGCAATCATTGTAGTGGAGTTTATGAAAATAAAGGATAAATGTATTAGAACTAGATAAAGTAAAGGACAATTGCATTGTGATTTGATAAATTAGTGGACATTCTAATCCTTTTGCTTTTTTACTGATATGTGTGAGATGAATGAAAAAAAGGCAAAATTTACTCAATGATATCTTTAAAAACGTGTAATTAGTTAGGAGACACCGCAAGAACGCGTTTATGCTATAGGACAAAAAAAAAACTAGTAATTAGCTGCTGGACACCCATGGATTATTTCATTATATTCGGAAAAATTGGAGAGAGAAACAACTATGTAAGTACGTTTCTACCCTTCGATTTTTTTTCTTTTTCTTTTTTCCTTTCTTATCCTTTTTTCTTTCTTATCCTTTTCTCCGCGTATGGTGTCACTGCTCCCCAGCGTTTGCACGATGTGCTGCACCGTCGCGAGCAGATTCTCCTCCCCGTCCTCCGCCATTGCCTCAGTAATCCGGCCCGGGAAAAAAACAAGCAGACGTCGAGCTACCTCACCTCCAGGGGCTGGAACGGCATCCCACGGCGAGCGGCATAGCTCCGATCTGGACGAGGGCACGACGCCTCCACCTCCACGCGGCTTCGCTTCGGGGTGGTGGTTGGGCGCGGTGGAGAAGGGGATGAGGAGGAAGAGAGAGAGAGAGAGAGAGATGACGGCCTCCACGCAGCAATGCGTTGCGGCTGTGGCGGCTGGCCGAGGGCGACAGCGCGTGGACCGGACGCTTTACCGCACAGCGGCGCAAGTTGTGGCCGCCGCGTCGGGTTGGATTGAGGTGACCGGTAAAACCCGCAGCAGCCGTCAGATGTGGCGGCATCGCGGTCGGATGCGTGGCCTCGGGGGAAGCGAAAGGCCATCACCGCCGGTACGGTTCGGTCCGCTCCATCTCCGCCGTTGCCGCTCCTCCTGCGCTCGCCCGCCGCTGCCGCTCTTCCAGCCTCGCCCGCTGCCGCATCCGCGACCGGGACAGCGCGCCGCTGTCAGAGCGAGACGAGGAGGACATGCTCACAGTTGGGCCC